TCATATGCTGGGTTTATTTTCGCATTAAATTATAATTACAATCAAAATTAATTAATAACAGTAAGTATTTTAATGTTGTATTCCGGATCTAATTTATCATGGGAAAAAAATTTCTATTTCTTAAATTAAGAAAAAAAAATATCTTTCTTTATTTGGGTATGTGTACCATGAATGTATATATATATTTATCTATATTGATATATATATATATATATGTAGCATATATGTATTATTTGAGCAGCCATTGCAGCTTTAGAAAAGAGAAACATGGCGGATGGACCCAACAGCCTCCTCTCCTTCTTAACTTTATTCCTCGTATTATTAAGTTGTGGAAGTAGACATGTTGACGGAAGAATACTCAAGAGCATCACACTGGTTCGTATATAGTTATTACTGTCTTTCACATACGTATACGTATATATACGTACTTACATATATATATATATATGTATATGTATACACATGTCCTCGTTGAAGTTTGTGTAATTAAATTCCGCTGGTTTTTACAGAGTGAAGAAGACGACGACGTAATCGACTGTATTGATATCTACAAACAGCCTGCTTTTGATCATCCACTTCTCAAGAATCACACAATACAGGTACTTATACATACATACATACATAATATATTTATATATATATATTAATGGACTTAATTACGAACAATGTCCATATGATGTTTATTTTATTTTTTTGTAATTAAATTTATATATTTCAATTTTTTATATAAATATTTCTTGTAACATATATATATCAAAGTAAATAGAAAATTTTTAGCTTTTAATTCAGACTACGTAAATATATTCAATTTAATTTTGTTCGATATTTTAAATGTTTTATTCCCGTAACGGTTGATATATTATGATTCGTGTTCAAAAATTTATTTATATTTTTTAAAAAAATTATTTAAAAGAAAAGCAAAAAATTATTATTGTAGATGAAACCCAGTTCATCGCCAAGCGGAATTAGAGGAGGAGAATTATTTTCGAATACGTTCGAAAAATTGTTCGAGTGTCCTGAAGGATCGGTTCCAATTAGAAGACATCGAACAGATTTTCCTCCGAAAGTAAACCCTTTCGCTCCACAAGCTACGCGACTTAACTTTAATAACAGCTTTCTATCCACCGTAGGTCACGAGGTATGTGTATGAATTATGTTCGTTAAATTCGATAATTCTTTCGAAAAAAAATAAACTAAAAAAATTTTTATTTTAAAAAATGATTAGTTTAGTTTATGTACCCTAACGATATATATATATATATATATATTTTTGGTAATACTAAACATAATTTGTTGGATTGGAAACTTGAATTAGTATGCTAATGTTGAGGTAAGAGGTGGCCGGTACTTTGGATCACATGCAATGCTTAATGCATGGCAACCCTTGACATCTGGTCGAGACATCAGCATTAGTCAACTGTGGGTTACAGCCGGACCCTACGAAAATTTAAATACTGTTGAGGCCGGATGGATTGTAAGTTTATATATATATATACATATATATAATTTAATTTGTTTTACCTGAAACATTAAAGTAAATGTAATTGAGAATCAACTCTGCATTTGCAGGCCAACAACAAAGTTAAGGACACTACAATTTTCGTATATTGGACGGTGAGTCTGTATGTGTATTCAACAGTTTAGAATTGGGTATACTTACAAATTTGAATCGGTCTCCATTTTATGTTAATATTCATACATGATATGATATTTGTATTTCAGAGAGATGGGTATGAAAACACTGGATGCTACAATCTTAATTGTCCAGGGTTTGTAATAACTAATAGAGCACACAGTCCTGGTTTTCGGATAACACCTTTATCCACCTTTAATGGAGAACAAAGAGGGATAGCCTTAACCATACACAAGGTAATTGGTAATGCTGTACAATGCTGAAGATATTATTAAGTTCGTTTTAATTATATGTGTAATCTTTTGCAGGACAAGAAAAGTGGGAACTGGTGGGTGGAGTTGAACGGGGAAGCCATCGGATACTGGCCAGGATCGATCTTCACGAGCTTACAAGGTAACGCGGACAGGTTAATTTATGGGGGAGAGATATCGAATTCAAATCCTGATGGTCATCACACGACAACTCAAATGGGAAGCGGGCATTTTGCAGAGGGAGGTTTCAAGAAAGCCGCGTTCGTCGGAAACATTCAATACATTGATGAATCCGGTAAGGCAAAAGATCCAGAAAGTCTTATATCCACTGTCACAAACCCTGCCTGTTATAATTTGAAGATTGCTCCCCGCAGCTCAGTTTATGGAACTCACTTCTATTTTGGGGGTCCTGGATATTCTGATAAGTGTCCATAAATCACACATCCTCCCAATCTACAGCTTATTAATTTTATTTATACATAATTTCATTACAACTAGCTGACTTTTTAGTTATTATACATATATATATATATATATAAACATTTCAATAAAGGATTAGAACAGACATGTTAAATTCGATTGGGGCTTTATAGGTATAATATATTTCAACTA